CCATATTGTAATTTTTACAAAAACCTATTGAACTTGGGTCCATAGACATTTGGTGGAACCCAAGGCTTTTTGCAGTAACTGCACTTTACATGTGAATAGTTTGAAAGAGAACAGGAAAAAAAGTTGAGACCTTTATCATATGTTGAAAAATGCAATTAGGAAATCAAAATAACATTAACTCTTAATTTTTTGTGAGAATTTTGCTTCTATTATTTTGTGAAATTGAAACATATTCTTAAAAGAGATAGAGCTGACCCATTCATTAAGGGAAATTATATTTTGCAGAAACCCCTTATTTGAGAAACATGAATAGCATGAAATATAGAAAAACAAAAACAAATTATAGATGATTTTGGTGTCTTGATGAAAAAGAAGATATATTTTATTTTTTCCCTTTCTTTAATTTTCCTTTTTTTCTTTTTTCTTTTTTCTTCAAAGTTTGAGATTGTGTGTGTGGGAGGGGACAGGATGGGTGATATACATTCTTTGTATGTATTGGTTCTCTCCTGCTCAGCCTCTTATTATCTGTGTCCGTTTTCCTCCTTCCCATTTATATATGATTCCTTCTTTACACAGCAAACTCCCTGGATTTGGAGGTTGGGGAAAACAAGTCCCTCCACGTCACCATGCTGCCCAATCCCTCTCACTTAGAGGCTGTGAACCCTGTAGCATGCGGCAAGACACGTGCCCGTCAACGGAGCCTTGGGGAGGGCCACTTCTCCTCGGAACCCTCTGCACGACCAGGGGATAAGGTCGTCTGCCTCCAGGTGAGGTTGTTTGGGGTTTAGTGATATGTATGGGGTAGAATGTTTCCTGGTATGTAAGGTTATTTAGGTTTATTTAACGCTTGGGATGTTATTTGGGGATGTGAGAGAAGGGAGGGGGGAGCAAAGTGATTTATTTGGGAATTTGATTTTGATTTAGGTTTCTTAATGGTGTCATTTGTGATATCTCTGGTTTTCATTTTCAAGATATTATCTTGAGGTGATTGTTTATTCTCTCTCTCATATTTTATTATTTCCTAATCTCTTTGTTCACGAGTTCAACTCTTGTCTCTGCCTTTCCCATATTTTTTTTTATTTTTTTTTTTAACAGTTTGCTTTTGCACACATCTTTTCTGTTTTATGACGCTACTTTGTTTTTCCTCTCCCTCTCTCTTTGCATTAATTGTCTTGAAAAGGGAAGACTCTACAGGTTAAAGTAAAAGAGGATACAAAAAGTAGATTTTGGAGATGAGTTGGTACTGATACCAATACCCAAATATGTGGTTGAAATTTTGTCAGTACTTTTATTTTTGTTTTTATTCTATTTGTAATGATAAAAAGAATGTTGGTATGGAAATAATAACAAAATCATAATCTTGGTTATAAGTAATTTTTGTCTGAAAAATAAAGGATATAAGCTTTATAAAATAGTGAACTGCTAATAATCAGCCACTCAAGAAATCTACCCATGATAATACTGAAACTATCAACATATTGCAAATATTTGTTAATCTGATAAAGAAGAGAGAGACAGAGAGAAAGAAATGAAAAAAATATGCGAACGTTGTGAATGTTTGTGTGTGTATAATGCAAGGTCTGTTGTTTCTACATCACTGCATGCCTCCTTTGACAGAATTGCAATATTTCATATGATTGACACTCCATTTAAACTAATTACATTTTTCCCTTTGACATTTCTGCTGCAGTGTGCAGAGAAAGCAGGTAGTTTTGAGCACGCTTTGTCTTCTGTGATTTGACTAGATATTTGTTCCTCATTTTTGTCATAAATATATTACAAAGTATGTTGCTTTTATGATATTTGTTTACTTGTTGATTGATTGATTATTTTTTTTTACTTTATTTTGGGGATCTATCTCAATCTATCTAGGTTATAGCTAGATAGCTGAAGATAATATATATATATATATATATATATATATATATATATATATATATTATATATATATATATATATATAATATATATATATATATGTATATATATGTATATGTATGTGTATATATATTATATATATTATATATGTATATATATATTTATGTATATATATTTACATATATATAGCTTATAGCTAGATAGATATATAGATTGTATAAGCATAATATATATATATATATATATATAATATATATATATTATATATATTATATATATATATATTATATATATATATATATATATATATATATATATATATATGTATATATATAGCCTATAAATGATGTGTATGCTTTTATTTTATTTGTATATTTTCCTCTTCTTTTGTTGTATAAACCTAGGGAATAGCTGTTAAGCATTGGGTATTTTTTCTCTCCAAATTTGAATTAAAGTGACGTTGCAAGATAATCCATGCCTGAGCATAATTCAGCTTTCCTGCTGATGTCATTGTGATACTTGGCTTCGTTTTATTTTTTTCTTCTTCTTTTTTAAGGTAGTATAACTAGGTAATACGCTATGGCAGAAAGTCCTTAGTCTTTCAATGGCGTTATGTCACTAGTTGCTGAAACAAGAGGTCGCAATTCAGTATACATAAACCTCTTTTCTATTTTGTCTTTTATCTAGTTCTCAAAATTGATTTCTCTTTGCGAAGGGAGTGCAAATATGTCGGAACACCTTGTCCTATTTTTTCTAGTTAACCAAAATCATTTTGTCTTTGCAGAGCTAATAATACCCTTGGTTCAGTCATATCTAATTCTTTTTCTTTCCTATTTCCCCAAAATCCTTTCTCCTCGGTGGATGAAGGTCCATGGAGATGCAGCTCTGTCGGGGCAAGGGGTCATGCAGGAGACTCTGGCCTTGTCGAATGTACCTCACTTCGACATTGGTGGCGCCTTGCACATCTCCATCAATAATCAGGTGTGTGTTTCCCTCCTGAGCAGCTGGAATGATGATTCTTGATTTTGTTGGTGAGATCCTTTTTTTCTTTGTTTATTTTTGTTGTTCTTATTGTTGTGTAGGCAGAAGATGAAGAAACACCTGACAGAAAAAAAAATATATATATGAATATGTATAATTTCCTTTCTTTTTGTTATATGAAAATATAATGAAAATATTGTATGTTTCACAATATATAGATCATAAATTGTGCATGAATGAATTTTTTCTTTTTTTTTTGTATATAACTTTTTCCATCACTTGCTTTCCAGGTGGGCTACACAACCCCTGGAGAGCGCACGCGATCAACAAGATACTGCACCGACATTGCCAAGATGTGCAGCATGCCAGTCATTCATGTCAATGGAGATGATCCTGTGGTTGGTTCTTTTTTTTCATTTACTCGTCTTTTATTTTTTTTATTTGTTTATTTATTCATTGATTAATTTTTGTTGCCTAAGAAACTGCATGTTGATCTTTTTAGATTTTCAGATTTTTCTTTGTGCAGTAAAGGCTGATGAATATTTTGTACATGAAGAAACTCTCCAAAATTCACCAAATGCAAATGATTGAACTGCTGAGAAAAATCTGATTGGTTTTAGGGGCAGTTGAATCTCTGTGGCAGTTTTTCTTGTTTGTCCTTTTTGAAAATATGATTTTTGTTGTGTATCATTCTCAGATAATTTGATGTGAAATTAAGGGGAACAAGCAGAAAGTTTGTCGTAAATATAATCCATATTTTATCCAACCACCACATTAACCTCTTAGACTTCGTTTTCTTATGATGCTCTCAACTTTTCCTTTTGCTTTGACTTTTACCTTAGTCCAGATCATCAAAGGTTCCTGGCTGGCCCTCTCCTTCCCCATGACTCATTTACTTAATAACACAGATTGGATTTAAGGAGTGCTTGGTGCATTGCTTTCTGTGAGATCTGGAGGGAGACAGTGTTAGATTCAATTTTAGCGATAACATTGTCACTAAATTCAACTTTTGGTGGTCGGATGTGATGCATGGAAGCAGCTGGAGAAGGTTACAAAATGCAAATGCAAGAAATCTGAGGCTTTACTCTACATGTGTTTGTTGAGGATTTATATTGAAATGAAGTTTTAGAATAACAGAAATGGTTAGGAAATATAACTAGTATTATATCTCTTTCTGATAGCAGGCATTATGCTTTATCAAAGAATTCTTGTTCAAAGAACTTCCTTATTCATGTACTCAACTGTAGAACAACTGTGTAAATTTCTTGATTTTAATTTGAAATATCCCACTCAAGGAAATTATATAAAATTGATTTGTAATGGAATAAGATAAGAGGCCATAGATTAACCCGCTCATTCTGGGTTGACATCCTTTATCATCGTAGCATATCATGGTAAACCATCCCTCACACTGATGAAGTCTTTGCAATTAACCCTACTCTGAGTTGTGCTTATTAGATAGTTGTGCTCTTTTGCAGCCCCACAAAAGTAGGCTTAAAGCTGGTTGTGGTCCAGTGGTAGTGTTCTTGTCTAGCTCTCTTGTTAACCCACGTTCAATCCCGCCCACTGCCCATGGGTGGTAACACAGGTCATTCCTTGCAGATAGGGGGTAATTTAGAAGTAATTAAACAGACAGTATGTCACAGCAAAGAATATCCATTGTAATAAATGGAATTAATCTAAATAAGAAAAGAAAATAGATGAAATAAATATCAGCATCATTACGTAAGAGATTGTTTATGCCACTGCCATAAGCTCTGTGTGCTTCTAATTTCTTCCTTGAGCATTTGACTGGGCATGCACCCTGATGTGTTGTTTTGCATTGTACTCCTGTTGTCATGGGTTAAAGAAATTGTGGGACAGAACATCAATTCCCAACACTACATTGCCATGCTATTAAATTAAATGAGAAGACTTTCCTCCTCCTCAGCATTGTCATTGTGCACTTGCCATGATTAGATCACATTCCAACAAATTGATGTCAAAGATGCCACCCCAACCATTGTGATTTAGGCCAATGCAGGGATTGCTATCATGTATATATTTTATAATAGTCATTTATTTATTTAATCATCTTTTATATTTTGTGCAATAGATTAAACATAACAAGTTTTTGTGGAGTCACTCACTGATATAAAAATTTTTGCTTTGACCCAATTTCTCTAGGCTGGCTAGGACACTAAAAGGCCTATACATGGTGGAATAAGCAGTAAGTGTATAACCAGCACTTATGTATTCAAGATAGAGATGCACTGATAAAGTCCTGATTTGTGGCTTTAGTACATGTATGAAACAATGGGGCCTCTTTGCTGTTTTTGGCTGAAATACCCACAGAAGTATCCATTCATCATGGTGCAAAGTATGTGTGATGGAATAGATACATAAAATAAAAAGATGACTCCTCCTCAGATTACATTAGATAGCAACTTCTCAAGACTACAGCTGCAGTGCGGATTGATGGGTGGGTTTTGGTGTAGGTAGATGAGTGTGGGTGTGGGTGTAGTTGTGTGTGTGAATGGATTTGAGGGGGCGAGTGTCTAGGTTGTAGATGATTATTTTACAGAAGATTATTGTAGGAGACAGATAGATAGTTTAATCTGCAAATAGACAGATATGGAGATTATAGTATATGTTCAAAACTTTGGAAATATTAATCCACCACAGGTCATGGTGATTGTCGTAGAAGTGAAATCTCAAAATGAAGACTCCATTGCTTCTTTTTGATTTATGATTTTTTGTTCTTTACTTTTTTATTATTCATTTATTGTTTCATCATTTCATAGTTTCATTTTTATTATTTTGTTATTTTATTAAATTTTCCAGCATCATTTTCAGTATCATTGCTTTGTTACTTGATATTTACTTTTTATATTGTAAATTATCATCATTATTTTTTTGTGTTATTCATTATCGTTTTGTGTTTAATAATCCCCCTTATCTACTGCAGGCTGTGGTGAAAGCAGCCCGACTGGCAGTGCAATACCAGAGAAAGTTCCGCAGAGATGTGTTTGTCGATTTAGTGTGCTGGCGGAGGTGGGGCCACAATGAGCTTGACAACCCTCGCTTCACCAACCCTTCCATGTATCGCACCATTGATGCACGCAAGTGGGTGTTGCTCTTGTTTGTTTTTGTGTTTCTTTTTTTTCTTTTTGTTTTAAAAGATGGTTTTCAGGAGAATTCAATTTAATCAGGATTTGTAATAGATTTAAGAAGCCTGTACTATGTTTATCATTGATAATGAATTTTGTTTACCTTCATATAGTTTTGTATTATTATTATTATTTTTTTTTTGGGGGGGGGGGGTGGAGGGTGTTGCTTATAAGAAAAATGTGAAAATGAATGACATATTACAATTTGATTTCGAGTGTGCTGCTTCTCTGTCATGCCCTGCATAAAAAGAAATAAATGATCTGATTAATAAAAAATGATACTTCATAATTATGATAATAGTAATAATGATAATGGTAATAGTGATGACGAATATGATAATGGTGTTAATGATGATATTAGTAATGGTAATAATAATAATGGAAATAATATTAATAATGATAGTGATAATGATAATAAAGTTAATAATGATGATAATAAGGATAATGAATAATAATAAAGATGATAATGATGAGAGTTACAATGACAATAGTACTCTAATACCAGTGAAACATCAATCAAACAATGATGGACAAAGAACGTATCTAGAATTCTGTAAAATTCTCTCAACCGCTTCTCATTATCTTTGACTCAGAAAATGTCCATTTCATTGACATCAGGAGTGTGCCAGATTCATATATCGATACCCTGGTGACGGAAGGCCTCATGACACGAGAGGATGTCATGAAAATTGTCTCGGAGAGGATGAGCTTTTTGGCAGAGCAGCATAAAAAAGTGGATGCTCACGTCCCAAAGGTAATTTATTTATTTTTATTTATATATTTATTTATTTTTTCTCTTGTCATTCTTGTTGGCCCCTGTTCCTCTTCTCCCTGTTTCTCTTCCTCATCTCTCTCTCTTTTTCCTCTTCTTCTTCTTCTTCTTCTCTTCTTTTTCTTCTTCTTCTTCTTTCTTTTCTTTTCTTTCTTTTCTTCTTCTTCTTCTTTTCTTCTTCTTCTTCTTCTTCTTCTTCTTCTTCTTCTTCTTCTTCTTCTTCTTCTTCTTCTTCTTCTTCTTCTTCTTCTTCTTCTTCTTCTTCTTCTTCTTCTTCCTTTCCCTCTTTTTCTTCTACCTTTCCCTCATATTCTCATACTTTCCCTCTATTTCGTTATCATCATCAGGTTCTTCTTCATCTTCTACATCATTTTTGAGAAGTTGCATTTTGCCATTATGTGCAGATAATGTATAACCATTTCTAGGACAGGACAGCTGATGGTGAAAACCTAATAATTAATTTCTGATTTGTTGGTAATTCACAGCTCATTCTTAACTCAATAAAATTTTGTCATTCATTTTCAGTACATTTATCTCATTTTGTAATTAATTTCCTGTCATTCATATCTGATATTTTGTAATTCACCATATGTTTGTATCCCTTTGTATAATTCCTATCTTGTTATACATTTCTGGAATTGTACTTTGTCATTTACTTGCATTTTTTTATGTAGGTAAGTGATATTCCCCTTATTCACTCGCAATACTTTGTAATTTGAATTCTCAATTTAGTTACACCTTATTTTGGAGTTAGTTTCCTGTTATCCATAGGCAGTGAACAGCATCCCCATGTTTCTCCTTTCCAGGCAGCCCATCTTGAGAAGCAGTGGTCAGGCCTATTGCAGGCCCCAAGTTCCGTTGAAGTGTGGGATACAGGTGTTGATATAGCGAGCCTGAAGTACCTGGGAGCCAAGTCTGTCACCCTGCCAGATGATTTTGTGAGACCATTTATTCAGTTATTTATTCATTTATTTGTTTTTTTATTTATTTACTTTTCTGTTGATTTGTGTATTTATTTATTAGCTTTGCTATAGAGTGTAAGATTTTTTTTTATATCACTTTTGGTATTTTCATGGCTATACTTGGTATTAGTCTACATAATATTCTCCTGAAATGAGCCTGTAATAACCTTAAAGTTTCTTTAAGTGTATTAAAAAAGAATGCAGTGCATTACATTAAGAAGTAGAAAAGGCCTATATTACATAACAGTATGAAGGGAATGGATAAGATTACAGTAAAGATGGTTTAGATGCTTTTACTGGAACATAGGAGAGTATTGTTCATTTTCTTTTCATTGTTTTAATGGTATAGCAGCTCTTTTTGCTCTGTGATGAAATATAGGGATAGAGCAAGATATGCAAAAAAGAATACTCAGTGCAAGGAGAAATCATGTCCTGTAATTGTGACTTTTGAATTTCTTGTGTGGACGGTTTCAGACGGTCTTTGAGTCCTATTCAGACATTCGATTATATTTACTTATTGTTCCTGTTTTATTCAGTGGTTTTATTAAATTTAATTTCTTTTGATTTCAACTTTCTTCAGAATGTCCACCCACACCTCAAGAAGACTCATGTAGAGACACGTTTGAAGAAGCTAACGGAAGGAACTGGGTTGGACTGGGCGACAGCAGAAGCCTTAGCATTTGCCACATTGCTGAATCAAGGCAAGTTTTCCCACAGAGAAAGGGTGAGAGCCAGTTAGAGAAGAAAGAGAGGGACATGCTGACACATGCACTTACAGACACACACATACTCAGACACACATGCTCTCACACACATGTATGTATTAGAAAGGAAAATGAGAAAGAGAGTGAGAAAGTATTCTTCTGTAATATCAAAGTGACATTTTGAATAGAAAGTGAATTTTACTGCTCATTTGGATGGCCGTATGACATCCAGAGAGTGACCTTTTAACCCGTTGATGATGAGAGTGCACGTAAAATTTCACTACCCACTGTAGCTTTGTTTTATAATTTTGTTTACACATTCATGGCTCTGGAAGCAAATTTAGACTATTAACTTATTTTGATTGGTACTGTAAGGCCACAACATCCGCATCAGTGGACAGGACGTTGGCCGAGGGACCTTCTCCCAGCGGCACTGCATGTTCATTGACCAGGTGGATGACGCTATGCACATCCCTCTGAACCACATGAGCGAGGACCAGAGCACCCACCTAGAGGTCGTCAACAGCATCCTTTCAGAGGAGGCTGTGCTGGGCTTTGAGTATGGGGTGTCCTTGGAGAGCCCCAACACCCTGTGCATATGGGAAGCACAGTTTGGAGACTTCTACAATGGTGCACAGATCATGATCGACACCTTCGTCTCCAGTGGGGAAGGTAGGTGATTGTCCTCACCCTCGTCCTCCTCCTCTTCTCACCCTCCTCCTTTTCTTTTACCTGTCACACTTCCCTATATCTTGATTTTTCTCATTGCCCTTTTGAGTGGTTAAAACTAGTGCCTTTGGAGGGTTTGATAGCATTTTCCTTTTTTGTAATTTGGAAGTTGGATTTTTAGAATTGCAAATTTACTGTAGGAAATTGTACCTGTGGATATGCCCTTTTAGCACATCAGATGAATACCAATTAATCAATAAGAAATTTATCATGAGCTCTATTCATGTTCGGCAAGTGATCAGATCCATTCCCAACAGCAAAGTGGCTGACCCAGAGTGGTCTGACGATGATCCTACCCCATGGCTATGATGGAGCGGGACCAGAACACTCATCATGCCACATTGAGAGGTTCCTGCAGAACTGCGACTCAAAGGAAGACCGGCCGGATGGAGAAGACGTTAACTGGGGGGTTGTCAATCCGACAACTCCTGCTCAGTACTTCCACTTGCTGAGGAGACAGGTCAGTTACACAGGGGATTTGTATTTGGAGGATTCATTTAATAATGCATAGAAGTGTAGCTGATGTACGGCTATGACTTGCCCTTTGAATGATGATGGGAAGGTTGCTTACTTGGTTGACCTCACTAGAGTTAAAGTTTGTCTTTGTTCTCATTTCTTTGGTTGATTAATTCACATCACATAAGAAATGCTTCTGTAAGCAAAATTGCTTTTAAGATTTTAGGTTATTGTCTTTTGATTAATGTGAAAGATTTAGGAAGAGGAAACATCACCCACGCACCGTGGATAACATCTTATTATCTCCTTGCCAACATATATGAACATGCCATTACATAACTCCTTACCAGATGGCATGTACACCCAAACTAAGCACTCTTAACCCACTCTACATTGTTTGTGCTAAACTGTTCTTCAGTTTTTTAGCCATTATGAGAGTTGGCTTCATGGCACTTTTGTAAAACCATAACAGGTCGCAATTCTCTCTTTTTTGGGGTTCGTCACTTGACGTTGGCTGCCTGTCTCAGGATAAGATTTATCCATGATAATGATATAGGAATAATTGTAACTAAAGAAACAGCAGTAATTATAATGTGGATTTTATGTAAAATTATCATATTATCTTACAATACTCACTGAAGCAGTTGAAAAATTTAGTAAAGGGGATAATGCAACTGATCTATTCAAAGAGGTAGTCTCTTTTTCTATAGGGTAAGCCACATCACAGCTTTTTGACAATTTAACTCTATTATTTCCTCACATCTTACTTCTCCTATACTGTAAAAAAAACATCTCAACTGACCGACAGCAACTGAGAAACTTTCGGAAGCCTTTGATTGTTGCTGGGCCCAAGATTCTGTTGCGGTTGCCAGCTGCCACATCCAGCCTGGAGGACATGGCTCCTGGCACCCACTTCATGCCAGTCCTTGGTGAGTGATGCAAGTAGCCTGTCATATGCAAGTTGAGGAGGATTACCTGTCTTGAAGGTTGTCTGGTTGATTTGTTATTATTCTTGTTGTTGTTATTATTATTATTATTATTATTATTATTATTATTATTATTATTATTATTATTATTATTATTGACTATTACTATTATTATTGACATCATCATCATCATCATCATCATCATCATCATCATCATCATCATCATCATGGTATTGTTTTTAGTATTTCATTTATTTTTCATTCATTTATGCTATAATTATAATTCTATCTTTTTTGGTTTTGTTTGTCTGTGTGACTTTAATATTTTTATATAGAAAGTTGTTCATTCATATTATGGCACTGTGGTGACTTTATGGATGCCAATAAGTTGTAATAATGATTCTAAGATTGCTAATATTTATAGGAATAGCAACAACAAAAACAACTTTAATAGAACAAATACAATTAAATAAGGACGATGAAATTCATTCATGAAATTTGCAGTTCAGCATATTTGAAAGGGAAAGAGTTAGAATAAGACAGGAAAGTTACATTTTTTTGTCTCCTTTCATGTATAGTTTTTTTGGCTTTGCTTAATCTAATTTGGGTGCTTATACTTTTGTTTGGGATGATTTTCCGTGTGTCTCTCAGTTCACACGTACCTGAGGGTGACTATTCGGATACTTTCTTCTCTTGTTGCTCTTCTATATTCTCTCTCCATTCTCCCACACTTCTTGATCTCATATTTCCATCTCACCCTCTCTCTTGGTTCCCCTTCATTTTGTCCCCCCCCCTTTTCTTTCTAATCTTCTTCATACCTCTCTCCTTTCTTCACCTTTCCCTCCTCCACCTTTTTTCCTTCTCTGCCCTCCACTTTTTCCTTCTACTTCCTCCTTCCCCTTCTGCCTCCTCTACCTCTCCCCTTTTCCTCTAACACCTTTTCCCTTCTTCTCCCTCCACCTCTCCCTCCTTCACCTTTTCCCTTCTCTCTCCTGTACCTTTCTCCCTCCTCTGCCTCTCCCATCTCCCTCCACCCCTCTCCCTTCTCTACCTTTCCCATCTTCTTCCACTCCCTATGTCTAATCCTCCTCCTTCTCCCTTTTCTCCCCGCAGGAGACCCTGAGATCCCACCTGACAGTGTCCGTAAGGTCGTCTTCGTCAGCGGGAAGCATTACTACACACTCAAGGCAGAGAGGCAAGCACGAGGCATCAGGGATATGGCCATCATTCGCGTGGAGGCACTGTGTCCCTTCCCCACACAAGAGATCAATGTGGAGCTAGCCAAGTACAAGAAGGCTAAGGGTAGGTCATTGCTCTGTTTTTCTTTTTTCTTTCTTTCTTGTCTTTCCTTTTTCTTCTTTAGGCTTTTTTTTTATGTACTCTTTTATTTGTTATCATGATTGATCTACTTTTGTAACTATATTTGTGGTGGATGGAATTTATTGCTTCCTATTTTATTAGTTGTTATCAGCATCGTCATTATCATCAGTTATTAATGATAATTGTTTTTGTAACAAAGATTATGATTATTATTGTTATTATAGCTGTTAACCATTTTTGTTTTTTTAATTATCATTTTCAGTATTGCTACAACCATATGTTATTTTCTTTCTTTTCCTGATAGTATTTGTGTGGTCGCAAGAAGAGCACCGAAACATGGGTGCCTGGTTCTTCGTCCGACCCAGATTTGAAAACCTTTGCTCTACTAAGGTATGTAATATTTAAACTCTTTCATTATTTATTTTTTCTGCTCCTCTCCTTCCATCTCCTTCTCTCCTCCTTCCTTTCCCCTTCCCTTCCTCCTCCCTCCCCCTTCTCTCCCTCCTCTCCCCCTCTTCCTCCTCCCTTCCCTCCCCCTCTCTCCTCCCTTCCCCTCCCTTTCCCTCTCCCATTGTCTCCCTCCCTTCCTCATCCCTTTCCTCTCCCTCTCCCTCTCTCCCTCCC